TCAATTCAGAATCGGCTTATATTCATTATTATGTTTCTGGGTCTATAAAATCATTCTGTCCATTTCTTTTTTGTCCAGGATAAGGAATAGTTTGGCGCAATTGTATGCTAAAGATATTACCCCAGATGATAAACAGGAGCTTGATGAGGCTCTACAGCGTGAAGTATTTCAACTTGTCATGATATTTGTTTATTATGTAAATAAAATTGCAATTCCTATCCTGCAAAGGGAAAGATATCTTGCTATCTTTGATTGTTTGCCTTCTTTTTCCATGCAGATTCAAGCTGCGTTTCGTACAGATGAGATTCGAAGGACCCCTCCAACGCCTCAAGATGAGATGAGGGCGGGAATGAGCTATTTCCATGAAACAATATGGAAGGGTGTCCCGAAATTTTTACGGCGAGTTGACACAGCTTTGAAGAACATTGGGATTAATGAACGTGTTCCCTACAATGCGCCACTTATTCAATTTTCTTCATGGATGGGTGGTGATCGTGATGGTACAGTCCTACTTGAATGAGTGAATAAATAAAAAAACAAAGTAGTTTCTAGTACAATTTTTAAGTATATAAAATTGGGGTTGCTCGAATATCTTCTGGGAGTTTCAAGGTTTCCTTGTTATATAATGCAGGCAATCCAAGGGTAACTCCTGAGGTCACAAGGGATGTTTGTTTGTTGGCTAGACTGATGGCGGCCAATTTGTACTATTCCCAAATTGAAGATCTGATGTTTGAGGTATTTAGCTTGTATCATCTGACACATTCTATAATTGAAACTTTGAAAGGACCCGTTTTAGTCCGATTCTTCTCGATGTTTCTGTTCAGTTGTCCATGTGGCGTTGCAGCGATGAGCTTCGTGTTCGTGCAGAAGAACTTCATAGATCCTCAAGGAGAGATGCTAAACATTACATAGGTATACCTCGAGCTTGTTTTTATTTCATATGCATTTTATTATAATTCTAGATGATGTCCTTTTAACTTGAGTAAATAGCTTTTCTATTTCATTATGATTTTGCGAGTGCATTACTGTATTCTTAAAATGCTTTGAAGTATTTAGACAATCTTTTTCCTCTCTCTCCAATTCCCTATGAAGGGACAGAGTTCCTCTAGGGTGTATGTTTTGTTGCATGCTCTAAGAATTCATTTAGACTTTTGGGAAACAAAACTTGAGCTGCATCTCAGACAATAATGCCATGTGATGATTTATGTTGTTTAGTTCAACTGATCTCTTAACCTTAGTTTGATTCTCATTGATTTTACTCGTACTGCAGAGTTCTGGAAACAAGTTCCTCCCAATGAACCCTACCGTGTTATTCTTGGTGATGTTAGGGACAAGCTGTATCAGACACGAGAAAGGTCCCGTCAAATGTTATCTCATGGTATCTCTGAAATTCCAGAGGAAGCAACTTTCACCAACATTGAGCAGGTCTCTATCTGTTAATCATATTTCATGATCTTATCATTAATTTCGACTCGGACATATTTTTCACTAGAGAAATAGATATTTAATATTACATTGCTCCTTTGTTTGTTAAAAGATGAGCAACAGCTAGCAGAACCTGATTTCATAGCTTAGTGTGTTGGGACGGAAATGTCTTGATTGTTAGATCTAACTTCCTTTTCACTTAATCTGTCATGTGGAAAACCCCCCTTCCAAATAAAATGATCATTTTTGGATTTGGTTTGAAGACTAGGTCACTCTCACGTAACTATCACGTAACTATTTTGGTCTATATCACTTCTTATGTCTTTTCTTTACAGCTAGCAAAACCTGATTTCATAGCTTAGTGCCTCGATACTAATTTTGTCTTTAATTTTATGCAGTTTCTGGATCCTCTTGAACTCTGTTATAGATCACTTTGCTCCTGTGGTGACCAGCCAATTGCTGATGGAACCCTTCTTGATTTCTTGAGGCAAGTTTCAACTTTTGGCTTGTCACTAGTTAGGCTTGACATTAGGCAAGAGTCTGACCGCCACACAGATGTCATAGATGCCATTACCAATTACTTGGAAATTGGTTCCTATCGAGAGTGGTCTGAAGAAAAAAAGCAGGAATGGCTATTATCTGAACTAAGTGGCAAGCGCCCATTGTTCGGTCCTGATCTTCCAAAAACTGAAGAAATTGCCGATGTTTTGGACACGTTCCATGTAATAGCAGAGCTCCCAGCAGACAGCTTTGGAGCCTACATCATTTCGATGGCTACCGCACCTTCTGATGTTCTTGCTGTTGAGCTCCTTCAGCGTGAGTGCCATGTGAAGCAACCGTTAAGAGTTGTTCCACTTTTTGAGAAGCTTGCAGATCTGGAGGCTGCCCCTGCTGCTTTGGCTCGGCTCTTCTCTATTGACTGGTACAGAAATCGGATCAATGGAAAACAAGAAGTTATGATCGGGTATTCAGATTCAGGTAAAGATGCAGGGCGTTTCTCAGCTGCCTGGCAGTTATACAAAGCTCAGGAGGAGCTTATAAATGTTGCTAAGGAATTTGGTATGAAGCTCACGATGTTCCATGGTCGTGGTGGAACTGTTGGAAGAGGAGGTGGTCCCACCCATCTTGCTATATTATCTCAACCACCAGAAACTATTCATGGATCACTTCGTGTTACAGTTCAAGGAGAAGTTATCGAGCAATCGTTTGGGGAGGAGCACTTGTGCTTTAGAACACTCCAGCGTTTTACGGCTGCCACACTTGAGCATGGTATGCATCCACCAGTTTCACCAAAACCAGAATGGCGTGCTCTGATGGATGAAATGGCAGTTGTTGCTACTGAGGAGTACCATTCCATTGTATTCAATGAACCTCGATTTGTTGAATATTTCCGCCTCGTTAGTGACTTGCATGAATTCTTTACACCATCTAAACTAATTACAAGCAGGTTTTGATTGAACAATACAATTTCTTTTGGTTGTAGGCTACACCAGAGTTGGAGTATGGTAGGATGAACATTGGTAGCAGACCATCAAAGCGGAAGCCAAGTGGGGGCATTGAATCTCTCCGAGCAATCCCATGGATATTTGCCTGGACGCAGACAAGATTTCATCTCCCAGTTTGGCTCGGCTTCGGAGCCGCATTTAAACATGTCATTCAGAAGGACTTTAAGAATCTCCACATGCTACGGGAGATGTACAATGAATGGCCTTTCTTCAGGGTGACAATTGATTTGGTTGAGATGGTGTTCGCAAAAGGAGATCCCAGTATCGCAGCCCTATATGATAAGCTCCTTGTTTCTCAAGAACTGTGGTCATTTGGAGAGCGATTGAGGGCCAAATATGAAGAAACAAAAAGCCTTCTCCTTCAGGTAAATTCACTAAAACATGATTCCCCTTTTGATTCTTTTATTTCAAAAAAACTTACAGTTCTTAACTCTGAAGGACAAATCCAAATTCACATTCTTCAAATATTGGTTGCCGTGCAGACCATTAAGATATTTGTGTACATATACAACATATGTGTGTGTGTATATATATATATATATATATATATATATATATATATATATATATATATTTCTCTCTTTCAGTGGTTCAAAAAGTTGATTCTATCGGCTAAAGAAAGTTGACACTTTGTTTAAAGTAATTACGCATTCATGCTAAATTCGAATTTTGCAACGGTACTGAAGTTCAGATTGATTGCAACTTGTTGACAAATAATGACAATGGGCCAATAACTTATACTTTCTCTTCTGTTTACAGATTGCTGCACACAAGGATCTTCTTGAAGGGAATCCATACCTGAGGCAAAGACTGCGACTGCGTGAATCGTACATAACAACACTAAATGTTTGCCAGGCCTACACACTCAAACAGATCCGTGACCCGGATTACAATGCCAAGTTGTCCAAAGAGATTATGGAATCAAGCAAAGCCGCGGATGAACTCGTTAAACTAAACCCGAAAAGTGAGTATGCTCCAGGTTTGGAGGATACCCTCATCTTGACTATGAAGGGTATTGCTGCTGGCATGCAGAACACCGGTTAAACCCCCCCCCCCCTTTTTCTTAAGCTTTGTAGATTTAGTCCAGAGAATAAGAATTATGCATGGAGAACATATATGGGTCCAAATGAAAAGCTATTTAAATTCGCAGGTAAACTGTAGGATTATGATGCAGTGTGTATATTATGCCCCAAATGGATGGGAATGAATGGAAACTGATGATTACTTTTATGTTTAAAAACAGTGTAAGTTATTCTGTTGAGGCTTTGGTTTTTCGTTTTACATATTCGTCTTTGGTCTAATATTAGCTCTGTGAATGATTTCTGGGAATAGGATAATTTTAATAATATATATATACTTCAAAATTATTTGATTGGTGATTTTTAAAATATCTTTTTTTTATATTTTTACAAAGAATAAGTTTAAGAAAATAATGATGAAAAATTTTAACCATGAAAAAAAGATAATTCTAGTAGGATGGCAAAATATATATATATATATATATATATATATATATATATATATATATATATATATATATATTTAATAAAATAAATTATATTTTTAAAAGTATTTAATAAAAACATTTTTAAAGTTAATTTTATTCTGATTGGATTTATCACTCAAATTCAAAATGAATTATGAAAAAGAATTTACATCTCATATTAGAAAATGAATTACGAATTATGAAATGTCTGATTTACATTAGAAAATGAATTATGAAAAAGAAATTGTAATTTTTTTTAAAGAAAATGTCGTGCTTTTCCATTAAACAATATTTTGGGTTGATTTATACCATTTTTCTAAACCAATCACCGAAAAATTAAAAACAAATTTGGATGGACCAAAAGAATCTATTTGTGTTCATCATTCCCCTATAATCATCCAAGAAATTACTAATTTCAGATAGTTCCGTTTGAAATTATATAACAAAATATTGCGAGAAGAACGAGTCTCCCTCTAAAGATGTCCAAAAAAAGGAAAAAACGTAAAAAAAATGTTACGTAATAAATCTTCGTATTCAACAAGCTCAGTTAAACCCAATCATAAATTTGAAAAGAAGAAAAGAAAAGAAAATGGCAAAAGCATCGCTGATGGCTCTGGTTTTAAAGACAGTCTGTATTTCGTTTCTCATCAGCTTCGCCCTTGCCGCTGAAAAATTAAATGTGGTGGGCAAAGTCTACTGTGACACGTGCCGCGTTGAGTTCGAAACCAAACTCAGTGAACCCATTTCAGGTGCAACGGTGAAGTTGGAATGCAAGAAGGAAAAGGACGATGTGATGACCTTCAGTCGAGAGGCGGTTACCAATGCAACAGGTGGATACAGCATCCCGGTGGAGGGTGACCACTATGAAGAGATATGCTGGGTTAGGGCGGACAAGAGTCCCCGGGCAGACTGCAATCAAAGGATGGAAGCTTGGGAAAGATCTCAGGTGGAACTGAGCGGCAAAGATGGCTTAGCTGAGCCTACTAGAACTGCCAACAATCTTGGTTTCAAGAAGAAGGAAGCTCTTCCTGGTTGCCCTCAAGTTCTTAAAGAGATGGGCTTTCCTAACGGAAAGGTTGAGCCAGTACCATAACCTACATCAACAAATCCCATAACACCCTCCCTGCAAATCCTTTCATTATATCTTTAAAATGTAACTTGTACCACTTTAATAAATTTCTACGCATTTCTCTCCTCTTATTCCCCACCAATGAATCTAGTTCTTTTTTAATACTCTAAGCTATAAGCTAATATTTATCGAAAAGATAGACTGTTGCAAAACGAGGTATTAGCATTGATCGGAAAATATTAAATAAAATAGTCAAACAAAACAATAATTTTGTCGTGATATTAACCACTGCTTTAGAAACAAATTTGCCTCGATGTGTGTAATCGCTGCAATATGCTGTCTTCCCTCAAAGTTAACATGTCTCTCCAAATATTCGTACACCCGAAAGATGAAGTGGCCTAGCAGTGGTACTGCTCTTCTCTTAGCAGTGGAAGAATGATAAAATGTTTTTTCAGAAAACTTTGAGAGAAAAAAGTGTTTTTAAGCAAATGAGGACATTCTTGGGATGGTTAAAAAAAACTGAAAATGACCAGCTATTTATAAGATGAAAATGAGGTTAATACGTCATTGATACAATCCCATTCTTGCATTTACTACTCTTCTTCATTGCAACAACTTTCTCTCGGTTGAAGCCTAAGGGAGCCTTACCTTACTTTGTCTTCTATCTACTAGTTTATACACCATAAAGTTACTTTGCATATAGTTTATATCATACTTCATGCTAAGTTACATATGCCATGTTCATCTTAAAATACTATGACATGCATACTTGTTAAATCATGATGATTACATGCCTTATGTTAACATGCCATGCTTAATATATGTTATCTTAGCTTATACTTAGTGCATATTATGTTACGCATAGTCAAACATGTTATAGTCTTCATACTATGTTCATCTTATACTTTGCTTAGCATAATGCATTCATACACATCTTTACTCGGCATATTATATGATTATGCATTCATACTTAGCTCATCTTAGGTTTAAGATCATTTTTATATAAGCTCATCTCATGCATATCATCATTTCTCTAGCTCAACTCATGCATATAATCACTTATCTAGCTCATTCTTAGCTCATACCTAGGTGGCATATTACACTTACATTGGTTTACATTAATTCAATACTTAAACAATTGTTTTATATATGTTTGTAGGGTCATTGGATGCTAAGGAAGGTTATGCCAACTCTTGGATAGCTAACTCAAACCATGGCAGCTTGTGCTAGCTCAATTACATCAAAGGATAACTTATTTTAGCTCAAGGAAACTCAAGGCTTGATGATACTAGCTCGGGAGTAGCTGAAGGAGCTTAACAGGAGCTGACACTAGCCGGAGAGTAGCTGAGGAGCTTGAGCTGAGCTGAGGACTCATGACAGCTGGAGGCAGCTCGAGTGACACTAAGTACCTAGCTAGCTACCTAAGCTTCCTAGCTAGCTTACTAGCCTAGCTAGCTGACCTACATGCATGCATCACATGGTCGAGACCTCACCTTACCATAGTGCGGAGAAGCATAATACATCAAATGGTGTCATGTGCTTAAAATGGACTGCCATGTGCATTCAAAACAACATGTGCACTCCATGTGACATCAAATAGGCGCCAAAACACCAAGGGATACTTTCTACTCGGCCAAAAACTTTTTATTCTTTAAATTTGGCACCAAGCAATATCCAAAAGAATGAAGGAAAACAACCATTAGACCTAAGCATTCCAAAGGGCTCTAAAACAAACCAACACCTTATTTTTCATTCAAGGACATGTGCTTTCATCATTTAGGCCAAACCAACATTCACTACAAGAAATTGTATTTTCAATGACATTAAGAATGATCATTAAAAGTATCAAATTCAGTCACTGAATATCATAGTGAAATTTTTTGAGTCATCACTTGTGGTCACTAATAACTCCATCACTATTATATTAGTGATGATTTATTGAATTTTGTCACAATTACTTATATTTTTTGTGACTATATTTTTTTGACACAATTACTTATGGTTTTTGTGACTATAATTGTAACACCCCCAACCCGTATCCGACCCGGATACGAGTCTGAAATGTCACATTGACTTTTCAAACATTTATTCTTATAAAATAGTGAGTAATTTAAAAACTTTGATAACATTTAAATTATTTCAAAACGTTTACAACAGATATCAGAGTTCATACTATTTATATCTTTAGACTACATGCCAACTACACTCTATAAACAGTACATACATTTTCTGATCTGACATTTGGTAAGGAAAACTGACCTGTCTTGCTCCGCATCACTCTTTACTCTTCTCGAAACCTACGTGTGAAACAATCACACGCTAAGTCGAAGACTTAGTGAGGCATAACAACTTATAATGCACTTTATAACATATATCGATACATGCATGTTCTGTTCTATCATGTTATAGCAATTCCATGCATTTTTCATATCGTACAAAATCATATCAGATTAATTACAGTAAATACATACATACACATAATTCATCATTAACAGTTTTTCATATAATCACATACTTTTTCAATCAAACACTATACACACACAACATCATATCATTTCTATAGCATTTATCATACTACTAACTTATATTTGTTCATATCTCTGGATTAGCCCATGTACGTATGTGAGAACTATCGATATGTGAGTCTATAGAGGTTGTGCACTAATGCTGTCACCACAGCTCGTATAATTGCACCGAAGTGCCGCGTAGAATTGCACCGTAGTGCCATATAATGATGTCCATAAAGACCACATAGAATTCCTTAAGAATCATATACATATGCTAGGGATCAAGTATGTGTCTTTCAAGACTTCACACATGTTCCACAGAATATATATATATCCCGAAGGACCGTGTAGAATTGCACCGTAGTGCCATATAATGATGTCCATAAGGACCACATAGAATTCCTTAAGAATCATATACATATGCTAGGGATCATATATGTGTCTCACCAGACTTCACACATGTTCCAAAGAATATATATATATCCCGAAGGACCGCATAGACCCTCGACTCTTGGCATGCCAACTATACCCCTAGCTCTCATGACACATAACATGGGGGTTATCATTTATTTCATTTCAAATATTCACATAAACTTGTAATTCACTTTTACATATCACGTATCACGTAGCTTCTTTTCATATTATCACATAGTCACGTAGTTCACTTACACGTAGATCATTTCCATATAATTCACATGTCACATATGTCATGTTTTCATATAATTTCTATCATTTCTCACCCAATCACCTTTATTCATGTAAACATACTTATCATATCTTGTTCACATAAGATCATATACTTCCTATAATATATCGAAACACCTAGAACACTTTCACGTAGCTTATAGTCATAGGTCTTATCTCATAACATATACTTGTTTTCACATATATATATTTCATATCATTTCTTATACCATCACATAATTCATTTAACATACATAACATATTATGTAACATTATAATAGAAATACCTATAAGTCATATCACTTAGAGCACACATATATACTTATAGTCACCTTGCTTATATCTTCATCTTATGCCTTCTCTTAGACATATATATATTCACATGTTCAGGTAATCCACCATTTCATCACATAATTATGTATTCATATAACTCATTTCATTTCATATCTATCTATCTATATATATATATTCTCAAGATTTATCCTAATATAAATCATATAACACTCTTATAATTCATATTCATATTCATCTAGGGCAGACTTATAAACATATCTCACTTCTATTATTTCTTTTTATATATATATATATAATCTAATCTGTTTACTTAATTCAATTTCATATAACTCCTATAATCTTCTCATATAACTTCATAAATTTCTATCATACAACCCATGTGTTATAGTTTTATTTAAACATATGAATCTTTCCCATCTAGCTTATCTTATATGTTCATCTTATCATTTATGTTCAAATCTCCTAGTTAGTGTACTATTCTCACTTCATCCTATAGATCAATATTATCTAGTTTATTTCACTTATCATTTAATAATATAATTATATTTTACTATGATCACATAGTTTATATCTCATATAATTCATAACCTTTCTTATGTAATTACTTATACTTTATCATCTAACACATAAAAGAACAGATCAATCCATATAATCAATCATACATACATGCATATTCCACTCATGCCTTTAATCATGAATTCATGTGTAACACTTTAGGAAATAGACTCATCGCAAGTCTTATTCCCATCGCACATCTTATACTATTGAATATGCACTCACCTGGCCTCACTAGTCAATTCCAATCTCTTATCTTCCCCTTGATCGATCTTACTTGCCAAACGTTTCGGAATTGCTTTATGCGTAGAATCTACATAAATGTACATTTTGAGGTAATCATTAGATACCTACACCTTGTAATTGGATACTAGCAACTTAAACGAACTTATTAAACCCATATTCACAATTTCCTTTAGGGGGAATCAGTTCCCTACTATGGGGGTATCGATTCCCTAATGACATTCTGGAAATGTTGTTCGTTTGAAGGGGTATCGGTTCCCCTTGAATGGGTACCGATTCCCCTTGCCCAGAAATCATATTTTCAACCCGAAAATTACTTCATTTCCACTCAAACACTTCATATATTATCCCTTTTTTCATTCTTAACTCTAGTATACATGCTTAAACCAATCTATATTCATTTATTTCATCTTAAACCTCAAAATCCTATCTTCCATATGAGATTCAAAAATCATACCAAATTTTCAATGTGTTCTAATTCCAATTCTAACACTTCATACTTCTTAATTGGATTGATGACAAGTCAAATTCATCCATAAAACTTCAACAACCATACCATATCAAAATTTCATCTTAAAACTCATATTGTAAATTCCTTCATAATTCCTTTATCTTATTGTTTAAATCCCATATAAGCTTTCCTTAAGCTTATTTAATACCCAAAGAATCAAAACTAAGCTTAAAACTTAAGAATTAACCAACTGAAATTAAACTTACCTTTGCCTTGCTCTCCCACGAAAGAAGAAGAAGAAAGGAGCAGAGAACTCTGGATGCTTCTCAAATTTCCCACGTTTATATTACCTTAAAAAAATTATAAAA